ACATTAAACCTCACCTATTTATATTAGAGATAACGCGTTCGCTTGTGTATATTACGTAATCTTACACGTCTTACATACAGTATACGCGAAACACAAGAATTTTAAATGAAAATTTTACGAAAAAAATCACATGATTTCATAATTTGTTAACTGTATACGCGAATTTATATAAAGTCATTGATTTTTATAAAGTTTTGACATCTAAATACTAAAAAAAATAAAGTATATGTTTTTTGAGCGAATTATGAACCAAATATCAGACCTATGCGATAAGAACTGAGCGAAATTTGTTTTATTACCGCTATCATAATTGTCAAATGGATTTTTAAAAAAAATGCCATGCACCATTATTTCTTTAAGATTGCGGAAAATAAATATGATGTCGATTGTTATAAGAAATTAATCGAGATTATAATCAAGGCAATTTGTAAAATCCATTTTCAATTTATTTCATCAGGCTAGTCCAGTGGGTTACTTTTGATATTGTCAAGGTTATCTTACCATCTAAGGGAAATCGCACATGCACCTTAGGTAAAAGCATAAGTAATGATGATTGATAGATCTTTTGCAATTTCTAACGTGACTACAAATTTTTTCACCGAGCATACGGCCTTTGCAATCTACATGCTTAACCACGATCACGAAAACGACCACTATAAACTCATATTTTATGTCCGCAGGCCTTAGCACCAATTCTTTAGATCTAATTATGTCTACTAATCCTAAATCTTCCATTATGTCTCATCGAAACCAAGGGGTATACTTTTGATGGCAAATTTTTCCATTCTAATACCGGTGGATATCGTACATCATTAACTGAAAATGCCAATGTTCTATCATACATGTTCAAATGCACCGTCACTTTTGTGTTCCTTCCAAATTGTGGGGTTCCATAGGGTCTTTGATGAGCGTTATTACTTACATGACCAGTAGATCCTAATATCCATACTTTTGAATTATAATCACCGCAACTAAAGTTGATAACGTCACCTTCGCCGCATACGCCAACCCAATCTGATGTACTAGGTGACTCGATGATGACATCCCAATTGTGTATTCCGGTTTCAACTGATTGTATGGCACGCACGCGTTCGTTATATCTTATATCTTGATGAGCGGAGATTGTGCGTCCGTCATCGGAAATTACTTGCGATCGTAATTTTTCAAAGGAACAATAGTCAGAGTTGCTTTTGTTATTAGGATTACAAGAAATTCAATTCAGATTGACAAATTGAAAATTTACCTAAATTTGGTCCACAGAAGTT